AGGGATTTTCTGGTAGCAAACCATCTTTGTAAAAATGTGGACATGGCTCTCCCAGGGATCAGGATGATTCAGTGCTGCTGGAAATATTTAGTAGTTATCTGTAGTGAGATGGCAATATTTTGGTTATTTAGACTTCTGACGAGCATGGATCATAACAAATAGTTTATTATGAAGAATATAAAATGAGGTGGTAACTGGATAACTTGACAACAAATTATTTTCACTATATATAAGTGCATGACAGTCTATATTGGAAAATGATAAATTACACCATTCATGTGCCCTGAATTCACTGTAATCTCTCAAGGGGGGAAAAAATCTAGGTTAAATAATGGGCAGCTAAACAGAGACATATGTTCAGTGTGCACCACAGATCAGAAAGGCAAACGAGACGTTGGAAATCCTGCAACAATAGCTTTCCTCAAGCTGGAGCTGCCAGTTGAAACCGAGAAATGCCGACACTTCTTTTTGCCTGATAAATCCCCTAAAATATCCATCTCTCCTTCCACTCCAATGAGGCACGAAGTTGGTAGCACCACACAGCACTGGAGAAAGTGTTGCTTTGATTTGCTGCCGTGTGTGGCACTGGCAGCTCATCCCTGTTCCGCACATCCCCTGCTATGACTCCAGCCCTTCATCTGAGGATCCTCTGCAAACTGCCAGGCACTCACGGGTGAGAATGCAGGTGTCTGATCACCTCTGATGAAACCATCCATATCACCTGTGTGTGCTACTTGTGTTTGGAAGGAAAGGGTGCGGAGCTGACTCCAGGAGAAAGAGTGTTTGTGCTGCCCGTGGAGCAGCACCGTAGGATGATGCTCGAGGCAGATTGCTGGGGAAGCATCGGGAGAGGTGGCTCCTCTAAAAACAACCCAAGATAATGGCACACCTCAGGATTTTCTCTCTCCATGCCTTCCTGCCAGGTGCACCTCTGGGATGTCCATGCAGGCAGAGGGTGGGCTCCAAACGGGAGAGGCACGGGCAGAGGTGGCTGTCCAAGGGGCCCGCTGGCCAGTGGGTGGACGGGGTGAGCCGGCCCTGAATGCATGCGTGGCTCTGGCCCGGCATTTCGTCTGTGCAGGAGGGGGGCTGGCGGCGGCAGGCGAGCCAAGTCAGAGCAAAGCCAAGCGAGAATGTTCTGGCAGCCCTTCCTGGCAGCCTAAGCAAAGTTATTTATCACTTTGTGCATTTTCCTTCTCATCTGTGTACAGCCGGCTCCAATGGCTCAGCTTGCATTTTGCCTTCCAGAGCCAAGCCAGTCCCTTGGCTCTGCTCGGTCTTGGCTGTCCATTCACACCTTCTGTCTCCTCCAGCTCTTCCTGGAGCAGCGCAGGAACGCAAATTAGGAGTAGGTGTCTATAGCCAGGGAAGAGACTGAAGCATCAGCAACACACACGGATGGCAAAGAGCACATCTCTCCCAGGGAGGCAGAACACCAAGCTGCTGTTTACTGGGGCTGAGGAGTTGTGCACAGTGTGTGCTGCTCCCAGGCAGCCTCTGCTGGGGAGCTCCAGTGCCTGCCGGCAGCTATGAGACATTTTCTTTTATTTATTTTAAGGATTGTGCCTTTGCGCTGACTTTTTCCAAATTGGTGGATATAACAACAGCGAATTTACAGCAAAATTTTCCAGTTCTGTGGACTCTTTTCCATACTGCTGGTGAATTTTGCCAAAATATCTAAAAAGGGTACCTAAATTGGGCTTGAAAATAATACCAGCTGCATTCAGATATTTCTGAGGCTCACATTTGCTCTTGATAAGGGCACACCACACTCTTCTAAACACTGAACATTGCAAAAGCAGATCAATGCTAACTCTATTACACCTTGTATCATCAAAAGCCTGGACAATAGTTTCAGGACTTTGCCTAAAGGAAGGACCCCTGAATTTAGCTGTCATTTCTCTCCTCCTCCTCCCTGAGCTGTTCCTGCAGTTTTGTCTGGGGCTGCTAAATTCAGTGCCAGAGTAACAGCAAGACTACATTTGACCTTGCTGAGTTTCAGGCAGTGAAAAGATTTATATTTTTCTGCTGGATATCACACTCTAGAAGATGCTAGATAATTCCCAGCCTCTGCAAGGCCAGATCTTGATTACCTTCTAGACATCTTGGTCCCAACAGGGTAAAACCTCCTACTGTTCTGATCAGGCACTTTTTTGTTTTTAAATCGTTCTGATCAGATGGTGGAAGGATATAAAACAAGACAAAGAGGAGGTGAAGGGGGCACCTGGTCTGCAGCAGATTCCCAAAAGCACTCATGACAACAAAGTGTATTGAACAGCAGCTTCCCATCATGAGCCCCTGATTTTCACATCCTGAAAGCTTTCCAAAATTGGTCTGCAATTTCTCAGATTTGGTCTCTGCCTGAAGGTAGAAGAGGAAGTTGAGTAAAATCCCTTCAGACCTTCTGAAATGAGGAGAGAATGAAAAATTGCATTTTCTTATTGTAATAAAAATTCTAACCATTTTTTTCTCTGTAAAAGGCCACATCAAGCTGCTTGGAATTTGAAACTTGGTGTGGGTATAGCTCTCGTTACAAGCCAGATTCAAAGCAAGCTGAGGTCAATAACTGTCTCTCCTTTGATTTTGCCTGACTCTGAAGAAGACCCTACAGCTAGGTAAACAAATCGTAGAGAAAATCGTTTGGAACAGTTGTGCCTATTTTCTACTTGGGAGTTGCCTGGGAACAAGCTCCGTTTATTTGCAATGTGTCTAGGGTTTAGATGTATTCACCAAAGCCCAGCTTTGCTCCATCCTCCTCAATTTTTATTTTAGAACCTTGCTCCATGAATAATCTCCTCGAAGAAAATATCCAGCAGCAGATGAAAGGACATCTTTAGGTAAAGAACTTGTAACTAAATCATTTCTACACCTTTTTTTTTTTTATAGATGGGTCACAAGCACATGATTTGTCGGTATTATGCATCCCTCGTGCATGCCCCAGTGTATCTGAGGTCCTGGAAGAGGTTGACATTTCAGTGTGCTGCAAGGTAGAGAGCACCAAAGCCCTTGGTGGATTGAAGACTGACCTCCACATCTCCCTGAAGCTCCAGCTCTGGGACCATCCTTTCTCTTGGCATCGGAGCTCAGACGTCTTTCTTTGTTAAATTCTACTTCAATTGGTTTAATTCTGTTTTCTTGCTGGAAGAGGATTTAGTAAAACAAACAAAACATCTTACCAATGCGAATATTCACAATTAATGACAAAACTCTGAAACAGGAAGGTCATTTCTTGGGGAGGGAGACTGGTGTTATTTTGAATGAAGGGAAGAGTGCAAAGATCTTGCAATATTTGCTGTAAATGGGTTGTTATGGTGAACATTCCTGTCAGCAAGCTCATTAGCTCAGAGATCCACGAGTGAACAGAGACCAAAAAATATGGTTAAAAATTCAAGAACAGATTAGTGGACAATATTTTGCAATCTTTGTCTAGCTCTGCTTCTCACTGAGAATTAGTAACTTTACTCCAGGCCAGATTCAAATAGTCTTACTCATGCAGAGCAGCACCGTGTTTTATGAGTAACCCCAGTGACATTTAGGGCTGTATTTTGGAATAAGATTGGAATCAGAGAAAGACAGTGGGAGGCATGGCTGAATCACCTTGATTAATAAGTGTAAGATGGCTAGGTTTTTTTTATGTGTCTATATAAATAAACATAATGGGAATAAGGAGGGATGTGTGGATTGACAGGCATGTGAGGGAATTCATAAACATCTTTTTGCAATATACAGCAGACTCCTCTTTTAACAGAAAAGGACAACACCCAAAAGTTACTTAATATCAGGAAAAGAGGAATTCACACCTTCAGAAACAATAGAAGATCAGGCCATTTTGTGGGTTTTACTCTCAACAGTTCTGGCTGTTGCCTGTGATATTACATAAGGTCTACACTGCTCTCCATAGAAGTGATGGATGAAGTTTTCAGAGCTGCCCGAATGTCTTGAAAGCATGTGGTCCATTTTCCAAAATAATAGGGTCCTTGGGATTCTAAATGCCATTGAATTTCAGCACTTCTGGGAATGGTCTCATTCACTTCTAAATCAGTATGCATTTTCCAGTATGTTATGCTTCCCATTTCATTTTATCTCGGGTCTCCAGCCATCACCATACATCAATAGCAAGACCGTCAGAGGGCAGGATGAAAACGGAAAGCAGGGTTGTGCCCAACTGCTCTGTCAAAATGCCTCCAAGACCCATCACGGGCTCCTGACATTACCAGCGAGCGAGGAAGGAACCAATTCAAAGCTCGCTGATGTAAAGGAAAGTCCACTCATTTCTATGGATTTCAGTGAGGCTTGGATCAGGCCCTGGAAGAATAAGGATGACATAAAAATAACATGACGTCTGCCAGATTCACCAATATGCTCTGATGTTTTGCCCGGCTCAGTGATGCAAAGCAGATGGGAAGCACTGACAATCCTGGCCCTCTTCAATCACTTACTCTGTCTCTCGGATTAGTTTTCATCAGGCGTTTTATTCACGACATAAATACATTTATCAGTGCTTCTGCAAGAATATTTCAGAAGAAAAATCACTGCATTTTAACTTTATCAGAGAAAAAGTTTCCGCATTTTATCACTCGGTGACTGCCAATTTTCAACAAGGTTTCTAAGAAGTTTATTATGGAGCCTGTGAATTTTGCTGTACTTATGAAGGGCTTGCAATTAGTTGAGTTTAGCTGTCTTTTTCTTCCATACCACTTTGGCCCAAGCAGAGTGCACAATTGTGCCATTTGACTGATGCACCATCAAATGGGGCACTGGGACAATTATTCTGCAAAATACAAAGCTCACCTTAAGTTCAAACACATGCTTAAATCCCATCAAAGCTATCATAAATAAACACATGTACAGTTCACTGGATCAGTGCCAGAAAATGCATTTAAAAGAAACTAGCCCCCTTTGAAAATTACCCCAGTGCCTCTATCCTGTCCTAGCCTATTGCTACACAAAAAAGGAGCTAAAATCCATTGGAAAGTTCTTATACATGAGGAGTTTGTGCACTAGACGCCCCAAAGAAGAATGAAAAGGCATTGCCCTGTCTAACATTATATGCCAGGAGCAAGCAATAAAGATGTAATACAGGATGAACTTTTAGTATGTATGATTATTATAAATATAGGCATTAATAGACATTAAAAGTTGCTGAATGACTGAGAAGTTGAGTAGATTGGATGACGTCCCTCAAAATGAAATAATCTATATTTGGCTGGTAATTCACTTCTTCCGAGATGCTTTCTGCTTGACTCTGCATATATTCCTCATTGCAGAAATAACTTGGGCAATTGCAGTCTGGCTCCAGCCTCAAGCCAGCCAGCCCGGGAGCGAGCATTAGTGCTGAAAGACAAGATCTGAGTTCCATATTCCCACCAGACACTTCCCCATGAAAATGTCCCAGACTGTTCGGAGAGCAGTTGCTGTGCTGCTCAGAGCCCGCTCCCTGGCATAAGGACCTGACCACAGCCACACCACATAAGGGTCAAACTGGCCCCAAGTGTGAGGACCATCCTGCATTTCTGCACCCATGCCTCACAGGCTTTCCCAGAGCATGTCCTGTTCATCACAGCTGAGGGTGGCCCAGAGTGTCTCTGCCCTGGAGTGACAATCTGCTGCCAGCCGTAGCACATCCACCGGTTTTGCCTGCAGTGCCGTAGCGCTCGAGCACACAAAGGGAGGAGAGACAACATAGAAATGCACAACGTCAGACACAACACTCAAGCCTGGGTTACCTCATTTTAGGTAACTTTAGGTAACTTTACAATGATCACTCACATTTTAGAGGTGAAGACCAGACTGCAGAAGGATGGGTAAGGCACTGAGACAAACCTGCCCCACACACTTTCGCCAAACAACTTACAGGGAAACTCTATTCCTGGCTGCAGCAAAGATCCTGCTGACCTACAAAGGAAAACAATTAATCCAGTGTGCCCAAATTCTTCCTCTGAAAAGGAAGGATTGCTCATCATGTCTCACTTGTCATCTCTCTGGACTGTAAATGATTCAAGGCAGGAACTGTATCTGTATGAGCACAGTACTGTCAAGTCCTAGCCACAGGTGAAGTGTACATCACAGCTCTTCTTCCTTCAGACTGAACTGCAATTTTGCCATGTCTAATTTTGTCTTTTTGCTCCTAACATTATAGTGCTTGGCCACACTTCCTCTCTCCTCCATTCTGTTTATTTGTAGAAAGGAAGAAATGTCACAGAATAACGGGTTTGTGCTGCTACATAAAGGCTAAGCCAGAGTCAAGATATTACTGGAACAAATAGTGAGACAGAGATGAAATGTTTATTTTCCTGCTGGGCGTAGTGATGATGAGATCGTGTCCTGTCGCAGCACATTTCAACTCTGCTACACCAGTAGCACACCAAGACCAAATCAACCAGTGGCAGTTCCGCTCCCGAGTCTTTGGGGCAGATCTGAAAGTCCTAGTATTGGATATTTCATGCAAGATCCAAAGCAGGTGGAAATAAATGTTTGAAATACAATGGAGCTGCCCTTAATGGGCCACCAGAGAGTCCCTGTACTACACAAACAGCAGACAATTGGCAAGGGCATTGTTACTGACTCTAGGAACTCACCAGTCCTGAGGGCCTCCAGTGATTTCCCATCCGATCTACACAAATCTCCCTTGTGGTTTCCACTGTGACTGGTCCCACTCCTGGGCACTGTGGAGAAACAAGAAAAGCTTCAGAAAAACATCTCTGTGTGACCACTACATTGTGATCTCTGTTCAATTTGAAAGCAAGTCCTCAGCCCCAGAGGCCTCATTTACTCCTGCTTCATCCCCTAGACCAGCCATATGGATCTATCTTGTTTATTTTTAGAGGCAGAATATATTTTTCATGTCTTGAGTGACCTTGGGTGAAACAGTCTTCCTCCAAGGTTTCCCCATCCAGACAGGACTATAAAACAACTGCCCCATTTTCCATGATCACTCTGCCCAACAGCAAGTAAAGCACAATCAAGAGATTATTCAAAAAGTCTCAGAAACTGCCACTGGAGTAGGTTTCACAGGCAGCAATGTCAAGACTATAAAACATGTTTGATGGAGCATTTTACGCTGCTTTAAATTTGGAATTCTTTGGAGAGTGTCTGAGGGTTTTTCAAGAAACAAACACAACCTTCGTCCTCCATGCACATAGACATACACACAAAAAGCTCCTTCATGGAATGAGAAGCTGGCATCCTGGGGCTCTGACCTCAGCTCACTCCTCAGCTTTATCAATCACCTTATATAATCAGTTCAGACTGAGCAGCATTTGGGAAATGAGTTGGGCTGGGGTTTACTTTCCTTTTTTCTTTCTTTTTTTTTCTTTTTTTTTTTTTTTTTTTTTTTTTATCTTTTTCCTCTCCCCTCCATCTAGGGCACCCAAGGAAGAGAGCCTGTAGCTCAGATGTGGCTTGGGAAAGATCTAATGAGAGTTCTTACCTCACTAAAATGAGGTGCTGCTGTGGTATCTTAATAGGAGGTTTGGAGATTTCCTTCCCTCAGGGCAGATTCTCAGAATATTTTGAGGTTGTCTCTTTGGAAAATGAAAGGTAGCTTTGCTGCTTCACAGATTCCTTGCATCCTTACTCTCGGTAATCAAGTGAGAGGTAAAACCACCAAGCAGGATAATACCCCAAAGGGACAGTCCAAGATGCAGCAGCATGAACTGGCAAGAGTCAGCACTTCAGGGTAGTGCCTCGGAAAGCACTGGATCCTGCAGCTGGGATGGGCCAGCCCCACCAGTTCCACTTCCACCTCTGCCTCCCTGGAGTTACCAAACCCAAGCACCACACTCCTTGCTGGAGAATCCAGCAGCCAGAAGTCCTTTCTCTATCTCCATGACTTTTCCTCAGGAAAACCAAAATAAATTGGCTGCAGACAAGAGATGCTTGAGAGTAATTTTCACAGCTCACCCTCACTTCATCCTTCCGCTGCACATCCATCCACAGCCACTTTGAAGCCTTCCTAAACCTCATCACTCAACTTCCTTGGCTTTCCACACTCATGGCTTGGTACAACATTTCCCACACACTCTCCCCTCACTCCAAAAACACACTTTACTTGAAGTTCAGTGCTCAAGCCTTGTCAATGGCAAGGAGACTAATCACATCACAGCATTCAATGCTTCATTAGCAGCTTTCCCAAACCAGGGATCCCTTCACTGGGAGCAAAATGCTCACGGTTTTGACCTGGTGACAGCTGCCTCAAATTATGTACTGCTGTATTAAAACTGACTGCAGGTTGATTTCTCTGCTTAACTCACCACACATTATGTTAACTTAACTCACTCAGAACCCAAGTTGACAATCAGTATTTAAAATGTGCCCTGTCAGTAAAGCCACCACTGTTACTGCCAGTGTGGGCAGCTGGAGTGGTGCTTGCTGAGAGCAATACAGGCCTCTAGCAATCCTGCCTAGATCTTGTAGTTTATTATACAGTTACAGATATGTGACTACTGCAGACAAAACAAAATCATAGCCAAAACTTCACTTAAAACCTCCAAAAATCCAAATCTTCATTATGCGTCAAAGAAGTTTGTCTAATTCCATTGATTTTAAACACATTCTTTGTTACTTCCTCTCAGCTGGAAGTAGATACACAGAGGGAAAAACCCTTCTGATATACTCACAGCCTGACCCAAGTTGTTCTTACAAGATTTCCAATTTCTGTTCTGCATCAAAACATCTATTATCCATCAGCCATTGGCAGGGAGAGAGCCCAAGACTTCGAGCAATAAAAACCACAGGGCTGGGTTTTTTTTGCTATTGGAGTTAAAGGGCTCTAAACTGGGGTAAATCCTTACAGCTTCTTCTAGGTGCTAGAAGTGAAAACGTTCACCACTAATGATACTTTCAACTAGAGGGGAGCCTGATGTATTTAATGAGTAGGTTCAGTCACTATATTACAGCAGTCATCCTTAGTAGCAAATGGACTTTGCACTCAGGTCACCAGGTGCAGACCAAGGTCATGTACTTGGTATCAAATTGGACCCTTAAACACAGTCCCTGTGAGGTTGCACTACTGTCGTCATTCTGTAAGTAAGAAAAGGCAAGTACACAACTGCAGTTGCAGTTTTGGATATATTTCTCTGGACCAAGGTGAAATTTCCAGCCTTTCAATTGATTTTATTGTCACAAATCCCCAATAAAGTGGCCTTTTTGCTTGGTGTGTTTGTATTCTTTCCATCTTTGCATACTCTGTGGCTTCCCAGAAGTACCCCCTTCACTCCCAGCACAGCACCCATTTCTGGCAGCTGCTCTGTCTGCACCACCAGGCCACCAAGTCCCCTGCTGCCAGCAGAGATCTAGTGAGCAGTCACCCAGCTGAGAAACTGCTCAGAGCCAGGGGGACCTAAGCCCATTTCTCAGGTCTGCCATTTCCCTCTCTTCCAACTGGATCTCTGTTATTATCCAGCTGTATGGACTAGAAAGTCCATCATTTCTCCTGACTTTTACAGCTCCCATCGAGGTGACAAACTCTTCTATTCCCTACTTTCATACAGCAGTGGATGAAATGAAATTTTAATGTCAGCTGGAGCCCCTTGACGCTATTAATAAAAACAACGATAATAACAAGGGAGGTTTGCAAATTAGCAACCCTTGCTACAAACAGTGATACACCCAATTTAGCACAAATCATTGCAGGCTCTTGCCTGCTTAGTGGCTATTTTAATCACTGGTGACTAATGCCTGTGAGGGCTATTCCAGGGTTTGACGTGCCTTAAACACAAGAAAATAGGGAAATCTTGGAGAGAGAGAGAAAGGACAGGAGAGGAAGAGGGCAAGAGAAGGAACTGGCCAAAGCCAAAGGTTCATCACCAAAAAGTGTTCAGCTCATACCACCCATTTTGCTGCCGTTGCTACTGCGTTTGCTGGGGTCACTGACCAATTCCTCCTCTGAATAACAGCATCATTTCTCTTCTTTTGGTGCAAATCTAAGAAAAACAGTCATGCTCTGGAACACAAACAAAGGCTACCTGTCCCTTCCTTGGTTATGGAAATGGGGGTCAGCCTTTTTATTTTCAAAGGGGGCAGAGCTGGAATGCTCCCTGGCACACCACCAAAAAGGAAATATCTGCTTAAATATTTGAAGGGAAGAGAAAAAAAGAGAAGAGAGGAAACAATGCAAAGGGGGATGGGGAGAGGGAACTTTCATTTCACGCAGAGGAAAAGGGCTGCATGGCAAACGAAGCCACAGCTCACCTCTGCTGGGCTGTACTGAGCTTCACCTTCATGAAGTGAGCACCTTTTCCTTACACCATTCCACTTACTTTTCTCCGTTCTAGCTTTCTAAGGATTAAAGGACTTTTCCTAGTTGAGGAAAACTGAACAAAAACCCACCAAGCACCAGATCCCTCAGCTAGACATGTGTCTTTACCTAAGACACACACATCTTTTTTCCTATGGTAGGTCAAGGTTTACAAGCACTTGAGCCCAGCTGACAACATCCAGATCACATTAAGCAGCATTCTGGAGAAAACATAAAACAGAACAAAAAAACCAACTTTCTTTCTGAAAAATTTTTGGAAAAAAAAAAAAAAGCATTTTAAAAAAATAAAATTTCAGGGAACAAAAAAAGATACCCTTCAGAGCTAAAGGGTAACACAATGTTTGATAACACAGGTGATCAAAGTAGGATTTCATCAACAGCATCCAACCATCATTATTTATGTGAAGGCCATCAAAATGATAGAAATGTTTGGATTAGGGAGCTTAAAGATCATCTAGTTCCAAACCCTCTGCCACAAAAAAGGACACCTTCCACTAGCCAGGTTTCTGCAAGCCCTATTCAGCCTGGACGTCAACAGTTACAGGCATGGGGAATCCACAGCTTCTCTGGGCAACCCGTTCCTGTGCTTCACCACCCTCATTGTAAAGGATTTCTTCCTAATATCTGATTTAAATCTACCCACTTTCTGTTAAAAACCTTTACCTGTCATAATGCTCCCTATTAAAGAGTTCCTCCCCATCTTTCCTGTAGATTCGCCTTTTGGTATTGGAAGGTTGCTATGAAGTTTCCTCAGAGGCTTATATTTCCTTCTCCAGGCTAAATAATCCCAACTCTCTTGACCTAAAATCAAAGGAGAGGGTCTACAGCACTCTGGTCATCTTCATTGCCTCCTTTGGACTCACTCCAACAGGTCCATGTCCTTCTTACACCAAGGGTTAAACACAATATTTTGGGTGGTGACTCATGAGAGAAGAATAGAGAGGGGAATAAGCTCTCCTGACCTGCTGGCCACAATTCTTTTAATGTAGCCCAGGATGCTGTTGGATTTCTAGTCTGGAAGCGCACATGGGCAGCTCATGTCCAGTTCTTCATCCACCAGCACCCCCAAGTCTTTCTCCAAAGGGCTGCTCACAATACACTTATCACCTGCCCTGCGTGTCTGGGATTGCCCTGATCCACATGCAGAATCTTATGCTTGGCCTTGCTGAACTTCATGAGGTTCACATAAGCCCAAGTCTCTAATCTGTCAGGGTGTCTCTGGAGAGCATCCCTTCCCTCTAAAGTATCAGTAGATGATAGTTTGGTGTCATCAAGAATGGGAGTCCAAGTCTTCTGCTTTCTCTCGTGTACTCCATCTGACTGAGTAGCACCATAAAATCCTTTTACTTAGGCCATGCCTGAAGAGAAAGCCACCCCTGAGTACCCAACACCATTTCCTTCAGTACCTGCTGATTTCATGGCAGCCAAGGAACTCCATGAACTCTCCAGGGCTTGGGGGGTAGGAACAGGAAAGTAAAAAGCCTGGAAAACAAGTATTGCAAACAGTGGGACAAGAATTCAAAAAAAAACAGCATTCTGTTCCTATTCTTTGAGGGCTAATGTGCAGTTTAACTTTTAAACAGAATATGTGGGGAGACTGGCTCAAATCCTCCGGTTTGGTCTCTCCTCTCTATTACACCACTGCAAACATGCATATACTTTGTGGCCTCATAAAATCTTTACATTCGCTCAGGTCACTGCAGGTTTAGTTTTACAGTGTTGGAGGCTCCAAACGGGATTGATCATAAACAGCTGCTTCTGTTTTTAACTAAGAGGGGAATCTTTTTGGTTTATTGCTCTTGTGGCCACTGAGTACTAGAACTGGAAACCTAGTCATCCAAGTTGCCTTGGACCTATTTCTCAAAATATGTTGGGTTGGGTTTTTTTTTTTTAGTACATGTTTGTTTACCAGTGTGGCTCCAGATTGTTGGCTAAGATCTGTAGACCCCTGGTGTAGCTACAGGAAATATTTCTAAAGTGTTCCTTTTCTGAGAAGTCTGCAGCTTAAATAACCAATCTCTTTCCATGAGGCTTCTGCATGAGCTACTTGCACTAAAGTGGCTTTGCTCTTGTTTCCCTCCTCCCCACCTCTCTGTCCTCTTTAACCATAATTTGGTGATAGAGAAGGTATCACCTCTGTAGGTGTTGGTAGCAGGGAGAAAGTCATGTGGTGCATAGTGCAAGTCAAACTTTCGCCCCTGCAGTTCTTGAGCTGTTTCACTTGAATCTTCTATTTGTTACTTCCTGTATATTTTTTCTTCAAGCAGTAGATGTGACAGGCTGTCTGCCTATGCCTCTACTTCACAGATCAGACAGGAACCTCCTAATTGACAAGAGGAAGAACTGGAAATTCTGGGGGAGGCCACAGTTGGCAAAGTTCACACATTCACTGATAAGCTCTCCAGGAAAATGTACCCTACAGCTTGTTCTGGCCTGAAATTTGCCAGGTACTCCTGAGTACAGAGTCTTCTGCATCCCTTCATCCTTGACCAGATTTTCAGGAGAGCTCAGTGCACTGAGATGCAACGTTTGTGGTTTCATAAAAGGATCCTTTGGAAGCCTGGCATGTATTTTGTTGCAAAGATGGGTTCTCTTGGAAATCGGGTCTTAACAATCATAAAAAACTCTGAAAAACTTCTGCTTCTTTTGATACCAAGTGTAGCTTTTGCAGGTCCTTTTGCAAGCTCCAGTGCAGCTCTTTCACTGAGACCTGTGCTCTGCAAGGTGATGACAAAAAGTCAAAATATCCTTTTTTTTTTTTTTGTTATCCAGAGATGTAGGGGTTCCATGTACAGAACTGTATCAAAACCAGGAGGTTCCAGTCCTAACTCAGCTGAACTTTCAAAGCTGCTTGGAAACCTAATTCACAATTTAATTCACATTAAACTTTATGGGAACTGGACATCCAAATTCCCTAGGTGGCTTTGCAAAACACAGCTGTAACTAATTGCTGTGCAGAAAGGTTTGGGGGGGAAGATTTTGATCTAGAAAAGGAGAGAGATATTTCAATGCCAAAAAAGCTTTTGCAATAGATTCTCACATGGAATCCGCACAGCCAGTTCTGGGCTATCTCGTCAATGAAGTAAACGGAGCCATTTTGTAATACCTAATCCTCTCTCTGTAACTCTTCATGCACCTGCAGAGGTTATAAACTAAATGGGAGAAAGAATTTATCTTGCTGAGTTTCTAGTAATCCCTGTCGCTGCAAACTCTGGGGCTGAAAGGTTGAATAAATCAAAACGACTGATGAACAATTCACGCCCAACTCATTCCCATTGAAGAAATTGTCACATTCCATCAGTGAGGCTGGTAAAATCTGTGACCATCTCAACCTTTATCAAGCCTTAATTTCTTCTTCCTGTTTTGGCAATAATTTAACGTTAAAGGTCACAGAGTGAAATGCTCAGTCAGGAAGCTGAGGAGTTCTGATTTAATAACAACATTATTTAGCCCCACGAAGCCCCACGTGGTATTTTCACCTCCTTTGTTCCTTTTCAAGACCATGATCCATCTTCCACTGAAGACAATGGGAGCATTTCCACTGAATTTAATGAGACTTGGATCAGGCCTAAATGTCAGTATTACTCTATTAATATTTATGCCGTTGGAAGTATGTCAGAAAATATACAGGATGTGCAGAGTGGCTGAGTGAGCGATGAGAATCATAAATTTTCCTGACAGTCACTTCTTCACAAATCCTTAACATTTCTAATCTAACCATGGCAGTAATAAACTAGCAGGATTCTAACCTTCTCCTCTTACTGTACAAACCTTTCTCCCACTGTAATCGGTCTGAGTTGGCTCCAGAGTTGAAAAATCATCTGCGTTGCAACTCCCTATCTAGCTCATGTCTAGTCTCTCTTTCTCTCTTACACACATATATGAGAAATCGAACCTGTTATTTTAGAAGTTGCACATTAAGTGGTCAAAATTAAAAGGTTCTCAAAACCAACAAGCTGCATGATTTACTGTGTTTAAAGATCCTTAGCTTAGCAATCTTCACAGCCTTCAAAGCGGAGGAGCTGAGGACCCAAACCTGTTACTGCAAGGCTCCCACAAACATGACAAGTGGCAACTGCTCTGAGAAGGTTTCTCCAGGCTGTTTTCCTTGGTGTCTTCCTTTCCTTCTTGCCAGCGTGAGGAAAGGGCCAAGTAGTGTGGCAACAAGCGGAGCCTGCTGGCTTGCCACGGGAATGCCTGTCACTGCAGGGTGTGTGGCAACCGCAGTGGTCAGACCCTCTTCACACAGCTACTCCAACCTCCCTGTTGTTGGAGAAGTGATGGGCAAAACAGCCCCAGAGGCCTGAAATTTCTGTTTCCCTTGAATAAGTCTCCAGACGGTCGGATTCCTCCCTGCCTCACCGCCCCTTCCCAGCGAGCAGAGCTTGCCTGAGTGGGTGGAGGAATGCGGGCAAGCTCGCAGCATAATAGTCAACTGACCACCAGAGCTGTAGAGTAAGGTCACTGGGGAAAAACAGCCATTGAAGAATGTGGCTGAGCTATGCCCCAGCTATGCAGGAGGAGGCTTTGTCTCCTTTGGCATGCTGAGCCCAACCAGGGCCACAGACAGGATGGCACTGAGAAACAGGCAGGAGCTGCTCCAAAGGGATGACCTGGAAGGAGCGGCTGGCAGATACGCTTGCAGGACATCCCCTCCTAACTCTGCTTAGTTATCTGGTCTAGACCTGAAGTGTAGCATGAGAAAACATGGAAAATGCACAAAAATTCAGTAGGTAAAACATAGAAAGGTTAAAAAAAGGTAGTTCTGTGGTACTGCTGAAGATACACTGCTTCCAGTAGCCAGATTAATTCACTGCAGATTAAGAAATATGCTCCAAGCTATGAGGCTAAATCACAGCATGGTTGAGGTGGAAAGGGACCTTTTGAGGGCCTCAATCCACACTACTCAAGTAGAATCACCTAGAGCAGGTTACCCAGAACAATACAGCGAACTCCAAGAGACAGCTGTTCAAAGTGAGCAGCTTCTTTTGTATCTGAGTGGTGAACTGTTCCTAGGGACAGCGTCCTCTGCTCCCGTGAAGCCAGCAGTCCAACTTCTCAGCTTGAGCCTATCAATCCAAAACCTCAAATCTGAAGGATCCGTTCCTTGAGGGACATTTTTGTCAGTGCAAACATGACAGTTCTGACCATTTCTCATGTTGCTAAACAGCAGTGTATGCAAAATCAAAATCCAAGCATTAAGGCTGGAATTTTCATCAAATCATAAAACATTTCAGACACCAAAAGTCCTGACATGCTGGGCAGCTCGGACCAGTACGGTCCCTTTGAACTTGCCACAAAACCAGCTTTTGCAACGTTACTTTTAATTTCTGAAAATGTAACAGAGCAATCAGTTCCACAATGCCTTCAGCCGGGTGTTTTATCACTCTGGTGATGGGTGAAAGGGCAGGAAGCAGAGGGACAGGATGGAATTTTGAGCATGACCCAAGTCCTGCCAGGACACAGGGGAGGGACGCTTTCCGAAAAAAGAGAAGCTTTGCTATGGGGGAAGTGGACTGCCTTGCCTCCGTATCCTGTGGATCCAAACTTCCCCCTGAGCGTGACATCTCTTATGAAAATATGCATGCAGACTTCTCCAAACTGCTTCCCGCTCCACTCTGGCAGAAGGGCCAGTTCTCAACAGTCTGAGATTTTAACAAAAAATAGGTTTATCCCTGCCACTCACACCATGTTAGGGCAGTGGAAACAAGGGAAGGATCATGCCTAATATTAAATTTTGGCTGGAGGTTTCCTGTGGAAATCTTTGACACAAAGAAAACAAAGTGTTTGATGAGATGAGATGTGTCACAGAAAGTATCAGCTATTCTGATTGCTTGAAACCGAAGATTCAAATAATGGCAAAAAACCCCACAATGGTTCATATCATCTGGTTCTTTCCTCTACAGAGCCAGCATATCCTTTAGGAGAAGGATCTCGGACTAGTCTTCCTCATTGTATACCTCTTAAAATATACCAGTGCTTCACAAAAGCAGTTTTTGGTCTTTTTCCTCTCTTTTTTTTTCCTTCACATGGAAAGTTGCTGTTTTATGGATCTCACTTTGGAGCACCTTACAAGGGCTTGACTCAGAAAGCATAAAAAGCCCTTCAGCAGTCTTGGCTAAAACTAATTCAAATTTTGACTTGCGCTTACATGACTGGGGTTAGTATTTCAGGTACCAGAAAAGTTTATCATTTATGAACCCACAAAGTCCTTGGCAGGCCTGAAATTGTAGCAAAACTTCAAATTCGAGGCATTTTGACCCAGTTTTCAAACTTGCATTGAGACAAACTCAATATTTACAATCACTCTGGGCCATCAGTAGCTCTTTCAGGAACTTTTTTTTTTTTTTTTTTTTTTTTTTGTTAGGAAACATAACATGCTAGGAATTTAAACAAAGGTGATGTATCAGCAAATGTCTCTCACACAGCATGATCTCATCTCCCAGCCATGCAACATTTGGGAACAGGAGTGAAGTTTGTTG